CCACTAACATGATAGAAATACAATGTGTAAACTCCAGGAAAATAAAGAGAAAATTTGAATTTAAAAATACTAATCAATTGAAATGGCAGGAGAAGGGAAAAACAAATTCCAGGTTTATATGTTATAACAGACAAGGAATTAAAACACAGGCAAGTTGGAGTCAAGGCATGGGGAACAGATATACCAGGTAAAACCAATCAAAATAAACCTAGTATGGCTATTTAGTAACAGGCAAATAGGCTTTATGCCCTAAAGCATTCTTAGTGATAAAAATTTACCATGAAGATATATATATATATATTCTTTTTATCTGTGTGTACATGTATGTACATATCTGAGATGCTATTATGGTCACTTAATGGCATAAGCTCCCCATATGTACATCAAAAAATTGAGACTCACAGAGAAAAAATGATTCACAAACAAAAAATAACACCAACCCAGTGGAAAAAGAGAGGTTACAAACAAACAGTTCAAATAAAAGAGCAGCAATGAGGCACACAGTTATTTAGCATCTACCAAATTGATAATTCCATGTAAAAGCCCAATTTCATAATCAATTTAAAAATATAAATTTAGCCATAATGTTTCCCACCCTTCAGTCTTCATCATTACTAGTAAATTAAATATATGCCTTATTTTAAAATGCAATGTATATTTACTTTTACAATTTCTGTTTTTAATATGGAAACTACAGATTTTATATTCTCTTCCTGTTTAGCAATTTTGATTTTGTTATGGTACTTTCCTTTTGTTTTTAACTGTACCTTATGTACCTTGTCTTCTTGTTTTCTAATATTCTGACTTCTTGATACCTGGCATGAGTTATTTTCCTGATGCTAGGCAGTATTTTGTTAATGTTAGAGTCAGGTTACCTGCCTTAGACATAATGGGTATTTCCTGTAGATTGTGCTATTTTAAAAAAAAATTATAGTTAAAAAAAGAGAAAACATTTTGAATGTTTATTGACCTTAAATATTTGATAAAATATACACATTTCTGAGAAAATATAACTTATCAAAGCCGAATCAACAAAAACAAAACTCTTAGTATCTTTGTAACCTTTAAGTAAATCAAATCAATAGAAATATAGCTTTCAAAATACCACCAGGTCCAGAAGCAAGCAAGTTCTATCAAATATTCCAAAAGGAAATTATTTCAGTCAGTCTTATAAAAACTCTCCCAGAGAACAGAAAATTAGAGAATGCTTCTCAATTTATTTAATGATATCTGTATTACTTTGATTCCAAAACAAGATAGAAAAGTCTTATCTACAGAATTTTGTAGCTAAACTACAAAATTACAGACTAAAAGTCAAAATTATTAACAAAATACGGGAAGCTGTATCCAACCATGTAAATACAAATAAATCTCGTTACTTGATAGCCCAGATAATCCAGGGGGTAGACAGTGAGGGTTTTCAAGGTGCCTGGGCTATGTGGAGTGGAGAGGCCAAGTGAGTAGAGCTCAGACATTCCAAAGTCCCTTCCGTGTGTTTTTTCTCAGACCACCTTCATGACGGGTTTCCTCCCTCTCACTTTAAAGTTGAGAAAACCGAGACCCAGCCTTGGGAAATGATCTTCCCAAATTAGAGAACTAGTATGTAGTAGAGCTGGGATTCAAATTTCAGCCTTCTGATTCCATGTTTGGTTGCTTCCTTTACATAGCCACATACTAGTAAAGGTTGAATAGCCAGTTCCTCTAGGAAAAATGCCCTCACTTGTAGCATTCGCTGATTTCTGTGGTATGAATGCTCTCATGGCTGACTTCAGGTTACCATATGATGTCACTGAACACAGAGTTGAGTTGGCTCCAGGAGCCAGGGCACACTGGCTCCGGCACAGCACTGCCTGTCAGACTTAGTCTTGGTGCCTTTACAGTCTTTATTGATTCATTCTTGCTTGTTCACTGGAGATGGCTGACTTGCTTCTTTAGTAAGTAATTACCCACAGGCATCATTTATTTCATAGATACTTATCAATTATCTATACTATGTCAGTCATTTTTTTAGAACTAAGAGCAGTAAAAACAAAGACAAAAGCAAAATCTTGCCCTTGGGGGTGCATACCTTGTATTGTAGAGAGAAACAGAAACTAAAATAAAAAGTAAATTACATAATATATCAGAAGGAGATAATTGCTATGGAGAAAATCAAGTGAGAAAGTGGGATAAGAGTGACTGAATACTGTGCTTCGATTTTAACAAGCAGGGAAAGTCTTATTGGGAAGGTAATAAAGAACCCAGGCATGTGGGTATCTGATGAGGGGCCTTCTAGGCAGAAAGTGGAGCAGATGCAAAGACCTTGGGCATTATTGTACCCTGATGTATTCAGTGACAGCAAGGAAGACAAGCATGGCCAGTGAAGAGTGAGTGCTGCCAAGAATAAATAGGAGATGAAGTCACAGAGGCAATGGACACATGTGTCACCTTGGGCTCTGAGGCAATTGAAGGTCTTCAGATTTTATTTGGAATTTCCATGTAAATTCTTCTTTATCAATTTTTTGCTTATATACCACATGTCATTTCAATATACAGTTTATTCCTTCCTTCCTTTGGGGAAAAGTTTTCTGTAAACTTATTTCTGTTCCATTAGTACAGTTCCCTAATTAAAGGAAACCAATTATTCCTATGTTGTATCATTTCTGCCTTCCATCTTTTTCATCGACTCTGTGATTATTCCTTGTCTCCTTTTTTTCTGAATTCAGAGTAATTATCTCAAGGATTTTCTCTTTGCCATTATTACATTCCTTTCCCTTTATGGTTAACTTGGTAACTCTGTAATGTTTTGTCTGGTTCTCAATTTTATCTCTTTATTTCACTTTCCATGTTAACATTATTCTCCCTTTTTTAAAAAAATTCATAGGCCTGTTTTATTGAATGAATCTTATTCAATTTTTTTTTGACACTAGTGGGAAATCTGCTTCTTTTTCTTGGTTTGTGTTTTCTTTCAAACTGAGTCCATTTTGTTATGCCTGCTGCATCTTTTTTTCCTTCCCTTCATCCTTCCTTCCTTTCTCCCCTTTTTCCCATTTAAAACATTTTGCTTTAATACATTTGCATATCTGTCATGACTTTTTTTTCACCTTGCTTATGCAAAATATGCAGAACTTATGAGCTCTAATATGGTATAAGTGAATTATCTTCCATTTCCTTCTCTTCTTATATGGGATTGATTTGTCTTTTCCTACTCAAGCTATAATTTGAGGTCTAGGAGCTGCTGTCTGTTTACTTTTTTGAAGTTTCAGTGTACAAATTGGTGAGTGTAAGGGCCTAGTTGGTTGACTCATCAAAAGGGACATGAACTCTGATTTCCTTTCCAAAATTCCATTAAAAATCCTGCACAGGGACTCATTCCACCCACCATGGATGTAGACTCCTTCCATTCTCCCAGTTCAGCAAGGGACCAGAAAACTGCAAACCCTCACTGTCCTCTCTGCCTTTGCTCTGGTCTTACAGTGACATGTAGGTGTTTCATACTTGAATATTTTTGTAATTTCCCAATATTTCCTACTCATTTCATTGACTCACATCTCTCCACATTAAAGAATAGTGATACATATTCATAAGATTTTATTAATTATCAGTCTTTCATTGGTATTGCTTCTGGCTGATGATCTCACTATTGCTTAAACCCACGTAGAAACATTTTGAGATTTTTCCTTGGCTTCACCTTTAGAAATATTTGTCATAAAATTCAGTATTTTTCCTGGTTTGATTGCTACTAGTAAATTTTTGGCTGCTTTTTTTTTTGGTTAACTGTTTAAATTTTATTTTGTTAAATATTGGAAAAATGTGTGTGACCCTGAATTACTTGCTGCCTTTAACCAGATATTTATTACCTTTTACTGAAAGTATTTAGACAAGAAATTATAATATTATTCTATATAATAACTGCTGTATGTATCAACAGATAACCAGTGATTATTAGAGATGGTGGCTGCACAATTACTTTTATTACCAGTATAGAAGAATTTGAGAGATAAGTAATAAAGGCATTACCCCAAGTGCCTTGCATTCATAAGATAAATACATTCTGGGACTCTAATGTACAGTATGGTGACTATACTTAATAATGCTATAGTGTATATTTGACATTTGTAAGAGACTAGATCTTCTGTTCTCACTACAAAATAAAAAAGGTTATTATGTGACATGATTGATGTGTTCATTAACTTGATTGTGGTAAATATTTCATAATGTATATGCATATAAAATCATCATGTTGTACACCCTAAATATGTACATTTTTGTCAATTATACCTCAATAAAGCTGCTTTAAAAAAAAAAAAAAAAAAAAAGGAATAGTATTTGCCCACAGGTCTTTCTTTTTTCTTCATGTTTGAGAAGAATCTGTTGTGCTCAGGACTGGGAATGTGGATGTACTGGGCCCTATAATTGACAAAAGGGATAGATAACTGCTCAGCAACAGCTCCCTTTTCTCCTCCCCCTCAATCACAGTGTTTCAAAACAGTCCAAAGGACATTTCTCATTACAATGACCCTCCTCATTTCCAAGTAGTGTGATAATACAGCAGATATTGCCTATCTATCTAAGCTAGCTGACGGCCTCTAAGGCTCATGGTCTAGTGTATTGGTCTGCTCAACTTCTCAACAATTTCTCTTAACAGCTTATGAGAAAGGACAAAGAAAATAAGAGTGTGTAACTAGGCTGCACCAGGGAAAATGAACTGTTTATTGAATTCAACTTATTAAATAAATTTTCTCAATATTACTACAAAACTTTGAGGGCTTTTCCATGGGGTGTGGAGTGAATCTCCATTTGTCAGCCTTCCTGGTTTTAATAAGTGGTCTCTAGGTGTCTGGTTCTGAGCACATTCATCTTGAATATGAGTCAATTAAACTTACATTGTTTGGTGATTGGTGAATATCTATTTAGTACTCTTGGCATTATTAGGCATCTTTCTGAAATGAGAGTTGCAAAATGGGCAATTTCCTAATCGGAAACATACTGCAATAACTCCAGTTCTCATATCATTTCAGGTCATATGCTAAATGACAGGGCTGAGACCTCTCCACAGCACATCTGATATTGGGATCGATGAAGATCAGATGTGCAAATCACAATGGGCTCCGGAAAGCCCTAGACTGTGTCATTCAAGGTAGGAGGATTTGCTTCTCTGGTAAGCTGTGGAAAGATCCTCTGTGGATTAAGACCTTTCGTTTCTCTTAAAGGATGAATGGATATTATAAGTCCCAAGGATTCAATAAAACCTTTATAGCCTTAGTATAGCAGTGTCCGTCAGCCAATTCTGTGATTTTACTGTGTTTGTCTTTTGCAAAAATCCATGTGAAACCTCAAATGTTCCTTTTACAAGTTCTTTTGTTACACACACATGTTTTTGGTTAAATTAGTGGTGGTTCAATCTGGAAAAGATATCTGTAATTAGAGTCTTATTTTTGAAGTTTAAAAGGGGTGGGGGGAAGCACATATTCTATCAACTTTTCCTTACAGTAAAACTTACTCTATCTTCAAAAGCTGTGACCCAACACAGCAGTTTCTAGGATCCTCCAGAAGGAAAATTTTCACTTACTGCCATATTGTCAGAAAAACAGGAGGCTTCTAAAAGTTTTCAAGGGTTTTCTTTCTCTCCTCAAAACTCAAGTACGTGCTTGTTAAATAATAATTCATGTAATTTGTAAAGTGTGTTAGCTTTCAAAACCCACATGTTATTAAATCTGATCCTCAAACCAGTAGTTTCACTTATGTAGGACAGGTATTATTATCATCATCATTATCATTTTTTTAAATAAAGAGAGAGGAGTAGAAAACGCATGTGCCCTGCCTTTTGTTGAACTAAAAGAGATAAGGTGAAAACCTCCTAATGTAGAAAACTAATTCCTATTTCTTTTTCTTGTGGATCCAAGCATCAAAAGATATGATATGACAATGTCTCAACAGGCAGATGGCAGAAATATCACAACTTTAGCATTCCCTGAAATATTACTGGACTACAGAATCACGCACTCCACATAAAGAATCAGGCTACTTTACAGGCTGTGCCACATTCTTAGCAACTGAGAAGGAAGATGCTAGAAAAGGGGAATGCAGGGGTGAATTCTTTTTCTACTTTAAACAAGTCTTGCCACAGCTTTTTCTCCAATTCCCAACATAACCATTCTGCCACTACTTCCCTAATACCATAGCTTGCCTAAGATGGATGAAGCAGAAAATGGGTATCTTATGTCTTAAGCAAAGGAAAAGAGTATTATTCTCTCTGTTCTCTATGTCTCTATTTTCTATGTCTTTATCTGTAGCAGGCTCTTTCATGCCCTTTGCATTTAATTCTTCAGTTGCAAAATAATACATAATAAAAAACTAAATATACCCATAACATTTTATTCTATGATCACATTTATAAAACTTAAACACATTTGAAAACATTGAAACTACTTTTTAAAAACATATGCAAGGTTGGCATCTGTTTGTCATTTTTATAAAACATTAAACCAAATTTTTGTTTTTTTGTTTTTTTGTTTTTGAGACAGAGTCTCGCTCTGTCACCCAAGCTGGAGGGCAGTGGCCGGATCTCAGCTCACTGCAAGCTCTGCCTCCCGGGTTTACACCATTCTCCTGCCTCAGCCTCCCGAGTAGCTGGGACTACAGGTGCCCGCCACCTCACCCGGCTAGTTTTTTGTATTTTTTAGTAGAGAGGGTGTTTCACCAGGTTAGCCAGGATGGTCTTGATCTCCTGACCTCATGATCCGCCCATCTCGGCCTTCCAAAGTGCTGGGATTACAGGCTTGAGCCACCGCGCCCAGCCATAAACCAAATTTTTAAAGCAGGAGAAATATTCCTCTATTGGACTTATATCATAAGTTGAGATGAGCTATGAGGTTAATAAAGTTCACACCATGATGGAAAAAAGCTCTATAAAAACTCTCAAATTTCTAATTTCAGAAATCCCTCAAATAACAGAGTTGCATTTCTCAAAAAATGCTGAACCCTATTTAAGTGATATTTATTTTAAAATTCTGGTTATTATTATTAGTACAAGACTATATTGGACCATAAAGGTATTTTTGTGGATAATATTTTTTGTGTTTAAAGCAGGATTTCTCAACCTTATCACCATCAACATTTGGGTCAGATAATTTTTTGTTTCAGGGAACTATCCTGTGCCTTGTAGAATGTTGAGCAGCATCCCTGAACTCTACTCTCTAAATACCATGGAACCCTAAACATACACAATTGTGAAAATGAAAAACATCTCCAGATATTACCAAATGCTCCCTTAGGGGCAAAATCATCTCCCATCAAGAATAACTGGCTTAAAGTATACAAGAATGCAATAGTTCTAATATTCACTGAGTCTAATAATCTAACATGGAGCTACACACTCAATTCACCAAATATTAAGTAAACCTCTGGCATATTGAAGGTACTGTGGAGGTTTGCAATGGTGAGTATAACAATGTCTCCTGCTCAGTAGTATATAATCCAAGAGGCAGGAAGGGTCAAGTACAATAGCCCCCCTTACCTGTAGTTTCACTTTCTGCAGTTTGTTACTCATGATCAACCCTGGTCCAAAAATATTAAATGTAAAATTCCAGAAATAAACATTTCATAAATTTTAAACTGCCATTGTTCTGAGTAACATGATGAAATTTCAAGTTGTTCTGCTTCATCCCACTTGGGATGTGAATCATACCTTTGTCTAGTATTTTCATACAGTATATACTACCTACTCATTAGTCACCTAGGAGCCCTCTCAATTATCAGATTAAAAAAACAGCATATATAGGGTTTGATGATATCTACAGTTTCAGGCATCCACTGGAGGTATTGGAATGTTTCACCCATAGATAAGGAGAAACTACAGTATACAAAAAACAAGAACGAAAGCAAAATATGGCAAATGACATAAACATATGCAACTTCATGAAATTAAGTAGCTGTTCATGCCTAGAAAGATAATTGTTCACATAAAAATTGTTTAGTAATAGTAGCAAGGAGATAGTTATAATAAGTGGTAAATAAGAAAGAGTTTTTAAAGAGTTACTTCCCAGATACAAGGGGCATTGGATAAATGCCCTCAGTTCAAATGAGAGAAAGTGGCCAAAACAAAGGGACTACAGGCCCCATGCAAGTCTCAAACCCAGCAGCCCAGTCATTAAATCCTAAAACTCCAAAATAATCTCCTTTGACTCTATGTCTCATGTCCAGGGAATGCTGATGCAAGAAGAGGGCTCCTAAGACTTTGGGAAGCTCTGCCGCTGTGGCTCTGAGGGGCACAGTCCCCATGACTGCTTTAATGGGCTGGCATTGAGTATCTGCAGCTTTTCCAGGTGCCTGGTGCAAGCTGTTCATAGATCTACTGTTCTGGGGTCTGGAGAATTATGCCCCTCTTCTCACAGATCCACTAGGCAGCTCCCCAGTGGGGATTCTGTGTGGGGGTTTCAACTCTACATTTCCCCTCCACACTGTCCTAGTAGAGGTTCCATCCTTGCTCCATAAGGGCTCCATCCTTTTCCCAGAGTTCTGCCTAGACATCCAAGTATTTCCACACATCCTCTGAAATCTAGACAGAGGTTCCCAAATCTCAACTCTTGCCTTCTGCACACCTGCAGGCCCAACACCACATGGAAGCTGCCGAGGCTTGGGGCTTGCACCTTCTAAAGCAATGGCCCAAGCTGTACCTTGGTCCTTTTTATCCACTGCTGGAGCTGGAGTGGCTGGGACACAGGGTGCCATGTCCTGAGCCATGGGCCTGTGATAAGAGGGGCTGCTGTGAAGGTCTCTGAAATTCCCTAGAGACAATTTCCCCCATTGTCTTGGCTATTAACATTTGGTACCGCTTTGCTGACGCAAATTTCTACAGCAGGCTTGAATTTCTCTCCAGAAAAAAAGGTTTTTCTTTTCTGCCACGTGGCTGGGCTGCAAATTTTGCAAACTTTTATGCTCTTCTTCCCTTTTAAATATAAGTTCCAGTTGCAGAAAATCCCCTTGTGCACACATGAGTGCACACTTTTAAAAACAGCCAGGTCACATCTTGAATGTTTTGTTGGTTAGAAATTTCTTCTGCCAGATACCCTAAATCATCTCTCTCAAGTTCAAAGATCTCTAGGGCAGGGACAAAATGCTGCCAGTCTCTTTGCTAAAGCATAGGAAGAGTGATCTTTATTCTAGTATCCAATAAGTTTCTCATCTTCATCTGAAACCACCTCACCTTGGACTTCATCATCCATATCACTATCAGCATTTTGGGCAAAATCATTGAACAAGTTTCTAGGAAGTTCCAAAGTTTCCCACATCTTCCTGTCTTCTTCTGAGCCCTCCAAACTCTTCCAACCTCTGCCCATTACTCAGTTCCAAAGGCACTTCCACATTTTCAGTTATCTTTATAGCAGCACCCCACTCTCAGTACCAATTCTCTGCATTAGTCCAAGTAGCATTAGGTGGTGCTATAAAACACTACCTAAGACTGGGTAATTTATGAAGAAAAGAGGTTTAATTGACTCACAGTTCTGTAGGCTTAGCAGGAAGCATGACTGGAAGGCTTCATGAAACTGACAATTATGGCAGAAGGTGAAGGGGAAGCAAGGAACTTCTTCACATGGCAGCAGGAGAGAGAGCAGGGGGAAGCACTACATACTTTTAAATGATCAGATTTTGTGAAAACTCACTCACTGTCATGAGTACAGCAAGGGGGAAATCCACCCCCATGACCCAATCGCCTCCAACTAGGTCCCTTCTCCAATTTGACCTGAGATTTGGGTGGGGACACAAATCCAAACTATATTACCAATATAACAGATAAAATCCAGGTTGGTGGACATAGCTTTAGGTCTGCTGACCAAGTGGACAGGTTTTCCTCCACACATTTCATCCTCTACAGAGGGGAAGCAGAAGAAAACTCCTCCTCTCTGTGAAGACAGCTCTCAAAACAAAGAAGGGTGAAGCTAAGCTTAGAATGCCCACCAGCTATTATTCTGATATTTATCTATCAGGTAATTTATTCCATATTCTCAGTTAGAGAAAGTAAAGACATTGAAAGAAACCAAGAAAATCTCTCTTCATAGAAATCAGGAGTGAAGGAAAGACATACCTCTCTAACCATCATAAAATGAACTTGTTCTGTTTTCTGATTCTTAAATGGAT